CTGTTTATGCTACTCACTGATGATTTTTTCAGATACCTACATACGTTCATGGTCAATAGTAGCCAACAATGTATTTGACTTTTGTCCGCGTAAAATTAGAATATGCATCAATTATTTGGTATCTCCATTACTCCAAACATAAAATGGTAATTGAGAAAGTGCAACGACACTTTTTGAAACTGCTAACTTACAAGATTAACGGTACTTATCCTCCTAGGAATATACTTGAGTACCTTACTTTTAGATTTGTATTAGAAAGTCTGAGAACTTGTAATTCTTTAATAATTTTGTATAAAGTTCTACATAATAACTTAGACGCCAGCATAATTTTATCTGGTATTAACTTTTAAGTGCCTTAAAGTGAACTAGAAATACCAAAACCTTCCATTGTGAGAGAACCAGAACTAATTTGCTTCTGAGATATAAATTTTGACAGTAAAATACTGAATTATGGTCATTTGCATCAGCATACGATCACAGCTTCTCTTGACTTGTGGCTGCCTACCTAGGTATTTGTGGGCCGTTAACCAATATGTGCTTGTTCTTTCAAATGAGATATGAATACACTTCAAAGCCTTCGACGACCAATAATTAGTTGTCAGAATATTTTCATCCATATATTCATCCTCCGATCACCTCTCCTGGGATACCCCCTGATCAGGCTGTCCTTGGCGGCTCGTGGCAAAAAGAACAGGTGTTCTGCAAATCCGAACTTACCTATTTTTTATACGTCAGTTCGATCCTGCGCTCCTTCTTGCAAATTTGTCGATCACCTTCCCGTTGAAATTTTCCATGGTCGAAATAAATTCCTTTTCAATAGACAGCATCGACAACGCTGTAAGGCGATCCTGAGTTATAGTGTTACGATGAAAAGTCTTGATTGTTTTCAATGTTGAGAAATTTTGCTCAGCCTTTGATTTTGACATAGGAGTTGTAACAATAATTTATAATAGCTTTTTTGTTTCTTTTAGTGTTTCCTCCAAACTATTTTGTATCTACTATTTTTTATGTATATTTTGTATTCGGTGATCGTGACTGCTATTATTACGTCGTCTCCTTTTGTTGCCTTGGGGTTCAGTGCAAATACTTTTGGCTTCATTTATTATGTCATCAATTTTATTTCTCACATCGACAATACATTTTTCAAAATTATCGATAGCCGTTTTAACTTGCGCTGGCTCGGTTTTTCTGTTCTGCAACTGGTTGAACAAGATGTCGACGTGAGGCATGACATCATGAAAAAATGTCAACCAAAACACGAAAACAGAATCGTTTAACATACGGCGAATACCGCAAGCTGCCTTGAAAACGGTTTCATTAGCGAAATTTTCTTCTATTTCTTCCATGCATTCAATAAGTGATTCTCTGTTCTCAAACACTAGATTTATCGTTCGAATATTAAAATTCCAACGAGTTGTTGCTCCTTGGGGAATTTTTTTCCCCACAATTCTGTTCAGTATCTTTACGCGATGAGGAGAATTATTAAAAAATCCCGGAATATCTTTCAAATCTCCAAAGAACACCCGAACTTGAGCATTTGCGGAAGCAGCTTAGGACATAATCAGGTTTAACTGATGGGCATAGCAATGCACATAGTGAGCAAATGGATATCTTTGTTTAATTTTTGCCTGTACTCCAGCATTATGTCCGCTCATCACGGCGGCTCCATCATAGCTTTGTGAAATCAGTTTGTTAGGGAAAATTCCTATTAATGGATCTACGACGCTCAAAATATGTCTTGTGAGAGTATCAGCGTCACATTTTTCGGGATTCATATATGTAATTCCAACAACGTTCTACTGGTTCGCCGTTAAATACGTATCTGAAAATTGTTACCAGTTGGGTTTTCCTCGAAATGTCCGTTGTTTCATCTGCTATTATCGCCAAATACGAGGCTCTGTTAATCTGTTTTATTATTTTTTCATGACGAACTTCAGCAATACAATCCAGTAGATCGTTTTGTATTTCTTTCGAAGTTCCTTTAAATATTGACGATTTTTTTATGTGTTCTCTTAAGGCTGTATCAAGCTCAGCAGAAAAATTAATCAGTCCACGAAATATTCCCGGGTTTTGGGAGCTCTCGGTTTCGTCGTGGCCCCGTAGCTCCAATTCAAATGCTCCGCAAAATTTTATACCGAGCACCCACCGACTAATCAGATATCGTACTTTGCATTAGATCTGTACGGATCTGTATAACGTGCAGCACATGCTCATGCTTAAATCGTTCATTTGATTTTGTAGAGAGAGACAAAAGCGAGCGTTTGCGGCTTGTGTCCAAGTAGTGCACAGACCCTTTTCAAGTGGCCCATGAATAATGTTACGCTGCGGTCGCGACGAAAATGACAAGTACACAATTGGTCGATTATAACGCTTTCTCAATACAAAACAGACTCGACGCCGTATCTTGCGGGGGCAGCGTTGAGGGTATTGTTTCTATTTGTGTGATAACATGGAAAATAAATAATGATCAAATTACTACTGCTTTTTTCTGTTAAGACAAAAGTTTGTGCAGTTTTGCAGCTCTGCCCTGCTGTCCCTCCACCCTGTATAATATCCATTTCTTTTATTTTTTTGCTGACTATATATTTCAAAGCCAGTGTGTTGTCTAATGCATAATTTTAGATGATTAAAATCACACCCACTCATTAGCGAAACAAACAAACGTGACGTTATCGTGCGACCCGCCGCGGACCCGCCTGATGCCGTGGACCAGCTGGACCGAGCTCGACGGTCACAAAAAAAAATGGTGAATATCCTGTTGCTGTCAGAAAGATCGTCTTGCAATTCGTTATTGATGATGAATAGAGGTTCCTCCTCGTCGCAATTTGATATGCAGTGGCTGTTACGTATCAAGGTGACTTGTTGATCGTACCACCGGACACAGAGAATCATCTGACCACGGTTCCTGGTTTTGCGCCTCAGCCTAGTGTGAGTCAACCACGATATGGATGTCTGGACAATTGAGCTTGTGTGCTGGGAAAAACATAAAGAAAGAAAGAAAGAAAAGACATACGACTGAAGGCAAAAATATTTAAAAATCAGCAGTTCGTCAAATAGTACAAAAGGAAGCCATATGGTGTTTAGTATCAGTATAGTCAAGATGATCATGAAGTATATCAGTCACCCTATAACTCACATTATCAACCTCTGTTTCAAATCCTCAGTAATTCCTCGCCAATTTAAAGAAAGCATAGTGACACCAATATTTAAATCTGGAAGTAGACAATATGTTCAATTAGTGACCTATTTCAGTTATCAATGTATTTGGGAAGATTTTTGAGAAGTGTTTGAATAGCAGACTTTGTTCCTTTCTTGAGAAATATGAAATAATATCGAACTGTCAATTTGGGTTCCGCAAAAATTGCAATACAGAGCCAATCTCTACAAGAACTTATAGGACAAGTGCTTGAAAATTTCCAAGATGGAGATAAGACTGTTGCAGTTTTCCTAGATCTTCAAAAGGCTTTCGATTCAGTATCTCATACAATTTTATTGAAGAAACTAGAAAGTGTTGGAGTGCGTAGTGGAGTTTTGAGCTTATTTGAGAACTATTTGGCTGATCGATTACAACAAGTTAAGGTAGCGTCAGATTTAAGCAGCATTCAAAAGACCAAAATAGGTGTGCCTCAGGGGACGGTTTTGGGACCAACACTGTTCCTCATATACATAAATGAACTACTTCGATGCAATTTCAACTGTAAAATGATATCATATGCAGACGATACTGTTTTAGTTTGCACTGGTCATTCATGGGATGACGCAATACGGAATGCAGAGTTGTCATAAAGTCAAATGCTGGCTGGATAACAATTTACTTAAACTTAATATCTCTAAAACTAAGTATGTGACGTTGTCTCCAACCAAAGCAGGTATGCCATTACAACACCGAACATTAATTATAAATGATAGTGCTGACACTGTCGAAAGAGTTGAAGTTATTAGATACTTAGGAATCATTGTTGACAGTAATTTAAAATAGTAGAGTCATGCCGAACTTCTGGCATCGAAATGAAGGAGAATTACTTATAAGTTTTTCATTATTAGGAATATTTTAAGCAGAAAGAGTCTTCTCACAATATTTAACTCGTTTGTGGGGTCTCAACCAACTTACGAGATAAGTATATGGGGAGCCGCATACACTAGTACTTTAAAAATATTACAAACCACGCAGAATTATATTGTCAGGTCTATTTCTCGTATCCCATGTAGGTCACGTTGCAAATTCGTTTACATTGAAAATGATCTTTTGAATGTTAGAGGTTTATATATTTTTGCTGCTCGGAAATTTGTTCACTCCTGAAACAACGTTCCAACCAGCCACGCTTACGAAACAAGAACTAAAATAAATATAAGTTGCACGTATATCAAAGTGAGTAAATCTGTTTGCCAAAAATGCATAAAGTTTGATGGTATTAGGTTGTATAATAAATTACCCCTCGAATATAAAATCCTCTCGAAGTATAGCTTCAAAAAAAAGAATTAAGAAGTTCATCTTAAATAACTTTGACATGCTTGCATCGATTGTAGCTTGCCTCAACCCAGTCATTTTGTTTCTGTCTAATGTTTTATTTCTTTTTTTATATATGTACATTTGCTCATAATACACTTTATGACCATTAGCCATGCATTGAATTTGTATATTGTGTGACACACACAAGCTTATAGCTTAGGTGTCTATTCTTTGTAGTAAATAAAAAAAAATTCTTTTAAAATATAAATATAGAAATTAATATTATGTAATCAGGATGAGTAGCTGATATAAGGTACAGCTGTAATAATATTAATGTTAATATTGTAAAATTATTATCATTGTAAAGGGACCGTCGATATTAAAACTTGTACGGAATGTGGTACTAGATACTACAGGAACTGTTCGACAACAAATTACATTTTCTTTTAAGGGTTGCCAGCCGTTAGAAAATATTTTCAATCTGTCGTTGATGTAGTTTATTCGTGAAGTGCATCTTAAAATAAAAGTGCGGATAAGTTGCTAAGACTACCTTAATAAAGTTTGCAGATTTAAAAGCCAAAGAGAACTAGAAGCCAATAGTTGCAATGGCAATCCAGGGTCCCGTGATGATGATCATAGACCGAATAGAATTTCTCGGTGCGATGATGATTAGGTCCACGATGCTGACACGGTCAAGGTCGCAACGATTGCGCGACGCGCGCGGCGAGACGCGTCGATTCACGCAATAATTCTACGACGCCACGCCACGAGACCACGCACACTGCCAACCGCGAAAAACGAAAACGCCTGGACGACCAGAAAAAAATAATAAAAGCGCACCACGTGGATCTGCCGTCTCCGTTCCTCAGTGCCGGACGGCTCTCTCTCTAATACAGTGACGGAGCAACCGATTGGAGCAGAATCATTGATTTCGATTGATTTTCACCTTTTAAGATACCTGAAAACATGGCATCAAGTATGTTGGCTCCCGATCTCGAATTTTTAACCCATACAATTTTTTTGCTGAATATCTGAAATGTCGAAGGAACAAGGTTTGACGTATTTCCTTTTTTTTCGTTTTTTTTTGTTTTCAGCTCCGCCGCAACTAGGTTGATTTTCGAATCATACAAAAGTTTTTCATCCGTAGCATAGACGTAACCTTACGCAAGCTTTAGTCATTTGGACTTCATTTTATTTATTTATAATAATCCATACACTGCCTGAACAGAGTGATCCAATTAACAGGCAGGGAAAAAACAAAAAATGATACAAAAATATAAATTATCCAATTGTTAAAAAACATCTCTTGAGATCGATTCTGGTGGAACTAAAAATATCAAGTTCACTTACACTGTCACAGACATTACACATAACATAACGAGGCGAAAATAACAATAAATTTGTCCGCGGAACAGGTAAATAAAATGAGTTGTTACCACCATGACGACTACGCAAATCGGGAACGCGTGGAGAGATCCTGTCTAGAAGAAAAGAGCAAACAATTGTTCCATTCAACAAATTACATAAAAATTTAGCAGCTAACAGATTCATACGTTTGACTAAATTATGTAAATTATATCTAGAGAATGTCATTGCGCATACCCCTTTCAGGGTACGCTCTATCATCTTTAAACCGTAAGTATTTCACAAAACGACGTTGGATTCTCTCGATGTTTTTACAGGGTATTTTAGATTTAGATCATTTTGCGACATTGAGAAAATTCTGATGACTTATACAAGGTACTGGTAGCATGTTCCTTCCAGATGATGGAAATGGTCCTGGCCCGGAACACAAGAACGTGCACCTGTAGGTGCTCAAAAGGCTCAGAACTGAACCAAATCAAGTAATATCCTGTCCTCCGAGGCTTATACTAAGAAGCCGTTCGGCCAGTGAAATTTACTGCAGACACCATTTTCATTAACAAATTCAGGAAGGAAGAACCTTTCGCTGTGCATTCTCTACTAACAAATGCCCTAAGGCTCGTAGGAGACTGAAATATTGCTTACATGTGTGGTAGGTGGTTATCCGGACTACAATGTCCACACTTGATATGGTTTAGAGGAAAGCAATCCAACTTCAATTCTAATAAATTGGTCTGTTTTATATTTCCTTGACAAGGTGTTTAAGCTTCTTTCTTAATGATGGGATGTTGTTCGTTTGGTTCTTTTTTTGATACATAAACGGAATCTGTTCTTCTGGGCTCACCTCCACAAAGCCACCATACTGACTGGAGCTATCGAAAATGTGAAACAATCCACCAGAAGCTATCTGTAGTTCTGTCCATTTCAGTCAGTTTAATATGACTCCTTTAACTCCATTCTGCAGTATTTCGGTGTTTCCTGGAGTATTGGATTGTGCCCACAAACAGTTCTTGTTCCGTTACTAGTTTACTCTAGCTCCGCCACTGTTAAGATCGTGTGACGATAACATCTGCTACATTTCAGTCAACTTAATAATTTTGTTGTCAGATGTCGCATTGGTTGTCGAATGCGAGTTGATTTCTTGTTTTTCAAATGTTACTTTGCCCCTCATGTTCCGTTGATGTAATGATATGAGGACGGCCCCCGATGTTGATATATATTTCGCGTAATACACGCCAGCGGCGATGCGTATTTTTAGATATATGTTTATTTTAAGATAACCGAGGAAATTATATACGTTCAGGAAGTAAACATTATGCAATGGTAATTTTTTGGGCAATGTTTAATGTACACGCCGATATCAAGGCTTACAAACTTACCTTTTGTTTGTAATTCAGTGAATAGTCGAGTAGAATGGTCATGTGGATGCACCACGCCAGTTGTAATAATCATTTGTGTATTGATGCAACATAAGCATATTATTATACCCATTACAGCTTTACATGCTGGATCGATACCCAACTAAGGAAGCAGTTCTTCCAGTTAGTTTTGTTCCTCTATGAGCTTTTTATGTTAACGAAATGTTATCCCGGTATAATGATTACATTCGGTTATATTATTGCCAATAAAGTGGTATGGGTTAAGAACCACTATTATGTATGTACCGAAAAAAGAGACTAAACCAAAACGCAAAACCGTGATCATTGCGTGATCAGCACACTGATACATTTCAAGGGAGAGGAAGCATAACTGTAATTGGGCAGAATAGGTCGAGCCCTTACACAAAACCAATGACAAACCAGAGGGTGGAGTGGGAGACGATACGACCGTGCATGCCGGCTGTCCCGGTGACTGGCCGTACAGTACAGAGTTGGCATCAGATTTATACTGGTATTACTGTGTGCTTATCAGATTTGTCAGCTTAATTTTGTAGAACTCAAAATGTCTGATACGGATACAGCTGATGAAGTTGTTGATATTAGCTGCACACTGTCTAAAAAAAGAGCCAAAAGGCTTCATTTTAGCGTTAAGGAAAAACAAAACAATTATCAACATTTAAAAATACGAAATGCAAGGAAGGAGTGACTAAAGTCAGGACATTGTTTGCAAAGCTGACACCTACATATTTTTCAATACTTGTAAAACGAAGAATTTCAACTAGAATTATATTTTATTTTTGTTTTTGTACATGCTTAAACTATATCGAGATAAGAAATCAAGCAATCATTTTGTTGGGGTTTTAATGCTTCCATAGGAGCGGTTTAAAGTGTCCAAAATGAATTATTTTTCTCTACCGAAGCTTGAAGATAATTCGCTTATAGTATTAGATAATGCTTCATTCCACACGAGAAAATTAGAGCAAATTCCAACAACGTCAACAAAAAAATCAGAAATTCAAGGATGGCTTAAAATAAAAAGATTGATAATGATGATACAACGGTTAAGGCAGAATTGTTACAAATTGTCAAGAAGCATAAAAATAAATATAACCTGAACATAATTGATGAAATGGCAAAAAAAAAACAATTTAAAACTGTTTTACGACTGCCTCATTACCATTGTGAGCTCAACCCGATTGAACTTAAAAAAATATGTTGCAGCAGAAAATAAATGTTTTAAATTTTCTGATCTTAAAATATTTTTCATGATGCTAAACAAAGAATAACACCGAACAAGTGGGAAAATGTATCAGCATGTAAAAGCAAAGGTCGAACCTAAAATGTGGGAATTAGACGGTATCATTGATACTCAGTTGCCCCTTCAATCATAAATCTTGATGACGGCCTCAGATCTAGAATGATTTTCATTTCAAATATACAGGGTGACTTCGAAGTTGAGTCATTTATTTTAACAGTGAGTTGATCTGATCAAAAGAAATGTTTTTTTCCTTTACCATTTTTCTGGTAAAATTAAAGTAACAAAGTTATAGCCCTTTGGAAGTTTGAGTACCGCCCTGTCTCAATAATAATATCATGTACTCGTGTTTGGCAACAACGGATATAATCCACCTTATCGGTTCATCGCATGGGAAACAAAAAAGCGAAAGAATTTGGAACGATGTTTTTATTTCATTCAGTTCAGTTATACATACAGTCAGTGTCAGTCGCGTGTGAATAGTGTCTGTTGCGTGGCTCAAACGAAATAAAAAATGGCACATGTTTATGCGGATCGGTTTCCCAATCGAGTGCAACCAACCCCTCGTGCCTTTGTTAATGTAGTACAACGGGCTCGTGAATCAGGTGACTTAAGACCTCACAGGGCACCTCACGATCAAATACAGGTCCGCACTGAAATACTTGTTGGGAGGATACTTTATAAAATAAGGTAAACATTTTTTTTTATTTTTTTTTTATTTTTACACACTTATTTTGGTTTATCTTCCTTCTACAATCATTATCTGAAAATTAATGACTCAACTTCAAAGTCACCCTGTATATATTTCAGGTTTTAGAGGTAAAATGTCTGTGCAATAAATTTTTGTATAATATTTAGTATATACAGGGTGTCCGCAAAGTTGGGGTTGTCCTTTTCAGAAACAACTACCCTTGAAATAACAAAGGTAATGTGTAGTGAAACGAGGGCGACCAAGTAAAAAAATAAAGGAAAAAGTACTCACTCTCCAGTTGACGAGAAGGGCTAAGTACGTCTCTGCCCGAAATCATACCGCTCCAACAGAAAATGAAATCAGCTCATGCGCTACCGAGCAGACGCCGGCGGTGGTGCAGACCACGAACAAAGGTAACAAATATGATGGCGTTGCCGCGTTTTCAGTCACATGGTGTTAAGTCTGGAGATCGCGGAGGCCACGCTACGGGTCCATTACGTCCGATTCACCTATTCGGAAATAATTCATTCAAAAACTCACGCACTTCGCGTCTAAAATGGGGCGGTGCACCATCGTGCAGAAACCACATTGATTGTCTTACACTTAATGGCACATCTTCTAACAAGGAAGGCAAAATGTTGCGTAAAAAGTCTAGGTATTGCATCCCGTCCAATCGATTTGGGAGAATAAATGGTCCAATGCCAGCATGCCAGCCCAAACATTCACCGAAAATGTTTGTTGAAAATGTGCCCGACGGACAGCGTGCGGATTTTCTACTGACCAAACATGAGTGTTGCGAAAGTTATTCACCCCATTACGCGTGAACGTAGATTCGTCTGTCATCAATATGCACTTCAAAAAGTCCGGATTATTGTCATGTTGATGCAACAACCACTCACAAAACCGCACTCTTGCTGGAAAATCGTCAGGTTGAAGGGCTTGTACACGTTGGACGTGAAACGGATACAGCCCCTCTTTACGCAGCGTTTGCCACACTTTAGTTTTTGATACTTGCACTTCTCTAGCCACGTCTCTAGTGCTTGTTGATTGATTCTCGTCTACGCGATTCAGTAGTTCTTCCTCAACTTGTACCATTCGTGGT